ATATATATATATATATATATATATATATATATATATATATATATATATATATATATATATATATATATATATATATAAATTATAATAAATAAATACTTTTTCGTTATTATATAATAAATATATTGTTTTTATTATGTATCTATTAATTAAAAATGAAAGAAGAAATGCCAATAAAACATTGTTTTTTCACTTCATATGTTGCTTTCACACACACATATATACATATGTGTTATCTGGAAATGATAAACTTATTTTTATTATTCTATTTCTACTTATATGTATGATATGCGAAATATTATCATACATATATAGAAAATCATATATGTTCTCTGTGTTCCATGCTTGGGACATAGAGAACCATTTTTCTTTCCAACAATTTTAACGTCTAAAATAAAATCTCTTACATTTAAACTAACGCTTTGTCTACGTATGCATAACCCTGGTAGGTATATGCTGAGCAACTTTGGGCCATTTCCTATAACTGATAAATTTTTTATTAACCTTAGAATGTTAAGCGGTCCTCTGTGCCCCGCTCTCCCCTAAATATTTCTTCTCATACTCATTTCAAAATTCAGTTACAGATACGTAATTACTTCTAAGAAAGAGCATTCGATACTATCTCACGAGCGCGCACGTACTTTCTCCCAGACAGCGCAAACTTCTAAAGGACGTCTGAAAGACATCTTTTTTTTCAATATCCTTTAGAAGTCCGTGCTCTGTTTGGATGCTTGAAGGAACGGAAAACTCGCACCGCACAGGAAGCGTCCTCCTCCTCGTCGTGCGCGATATTTTGCTCGATAAATTATGGCGATCGTTGGTCGTACGAAGACGATTTCGTGCGACTAACGAACCGTATCATGCTCCTTATAAGACATCCGAACTAACGAGCTCCACGAGCAGTGAATCGGTAGTAACGCATCGATCTCGTTCAGGACGATGAGACATCTAGCCGTTGCGCTTCTCACCCTATGCGCCCTTTCCCCTGGCGTCGTTCTCGCCGAAGAAGGGCAGTACACCACGAAATTCGACAATGTGGACGTCGACGGGATCATAAACAGCGAGAGGCTGCTAAACGGATACGTGGGTTGTCTGCTCGATCGGAATCCTTGCACTCCGGATGCGGCGGAACTAAAAAGTGAGTACATCGTAAAACGTTGCGAGTTTGCTCGTTAAAAGCACATTGAATCCCCAAGCAGTACAAACTTCTAAAATACCTTCAAGACTAAATATCTTCAAGACTAAAAAAGTCTAAAGACTAAAAAAGACGACTTCATGTTTAAAGAACGTTTTTTTAAAAGCTTGCTGTTTCTCTGAACCTTTAGACTATTTCTCCTTCCAGATAAAGGATTCTCTCCCTATCAATATATTGTTGATTACGAGGAAATCAACTCAATCTTGTTAGTTGATCCACGGGCTATCTTGTGTTTTGATTCATACAAAACAGAAATAGCTGAATCAAAAGCTGAACAATGTTGAAAATAATATCAATTGACAATATGTCAATCTAATGTTGATCTATGAAAAGCCAATAAAAAATATTAGTCGACGTTCAAATTTAATAAAAAAAAATTATTTGTATTTAAACAACAATAGAAAAATTCAAATTCGAGCAGTCGGCTAACGATGTATTCGTTTCAGAAAATCTGCCGGATGCGTTGGAACACGACTGCGCGGGATGCAGCGCGGCACAGAAGAACGCGGCCGACAAAATCTCTCACCATTTGATCGACAACAAGCAGGATGAATGGAGGTTGCTGGAGGAAAAGTACGATCCTACTGGGGCGTACCGACGACGTTACCTGGAGAACAAGTCCCAGGAGGGAAGTAGACTCGACTAGGTCGTCTTTACCACGTCGTCGAGGTGTCGATATCGAGGCTGACCTTCGCTATACTTTCGGACTCCGATTGCTTTGTCTCGTGATTCTCGTCACATGGCAGTTCTACCTTACGTAACAGTTGCGCAACAAAGACATCCTTATACATATTGAGAAAGGATCGGTCTGGAGAAATATCTAGTTTTCCTAGCGCGACATTCCGCATCGATTTGTTTCGCATAATTTTACTCGTTGTCTGGAATTTAACTTAATCATTGGCTTCAAAACGAATCCGCGTGCGCCCGCCACACGTAAACCAAAGAGAATACATGTCATTAGTTTATACAAATTAATTTTAACAATTAATACAAATTAATTTCATTTCGAAGAGAATCGCGTAATATTAGATGAAACAACTCGCCGTAATCGATCGTAATTTGGCGCGTAAAGGCGGACGAGGCAATTCAATCGTCCTTGCATAACGGCAAAGAAAAAGTTGTTTGTCCCATTTGTTATATTTCTCTGTGCTTATCTAATAACCGTTTTCCACGCTTGTTACGTCTCACAGGATATTAATTATTACGCGTATATAAGTCTTTACACTTGTCTATCATATATTATGCACACATACACATGCATATCTATCCGCCGTTATCGATACTTACATTAAATATTACTTAATTACATTAAATATTACTTAATTAAACGAATCCTTCTAAGCGCGTTTCGGCTCAATAATCTCTTCTTTATCGATAGTTGCACTTTAAGTATCCGCATTCGTCGGTAGGTTCCGCTTCACGGTTGTATTTCGATGCACGGTCACGATGCGCTTCGCTTGAGTCGGCATCAAAATCGACGATAATCTCGAAATCTTTCAAAATAGAAGTTTTAAAAAGGGGACTAGGATTTAAAAATAGAATCCAATTCTTTCCCTCAGTCTGTCTTGATTCATTCTCCCTGCGTACAACACGTCTTCGTTTCTTTTCTTTTTACTTCAATTATAATGATATTATAACATATCATGCATACTTTCACTATGTAATATCACTCAAGTCGTATTGATTGCTGTACATGTGCTGATTACCGTTTTATAATTATGTATACATATCTTTCAGAGAAAGTGAGAGAGAGAGAGAGAGAGAGAGAGAGAGAGAGAGAGAGAG